CAGGGTTATGGGCAGAAGCCCCTGCCAGTGGCATGGCCCTGCCAGCATGTGCCCTGGTCCCACACGGGTTTCCTGGGTCAATTCCCAGCAAAGGATGGCCCCACTGCCCTGGCACGTGGGAAATTCATTCCCTTTGCATTATTTCCCTCTTTGCCAGGAAGCTCATCTGCACCTAACAAGCCACAGAACCTGTGCATGTTACCTCAGCTGGCTCTGTGGGCAGCAGCACTGCCTGGCCCCCTGCCCGCCTCACAGCGAGGGGGCACAGCCCCTGTGCCTGCAGGCTGGGGGCACACTGGGACAGGGGGATGCTTACATATGTCCCTAATGCCATCCCATCCAAAGCTGGTGCTGCTGCCACCTGGCACCTCTCACCCCCAGCTGGATGCTGGATCGTGGCCTCTCCCCTGTTGACTCATCTGGGCTGGGACAGGGACGGGACAGGCTTTTAATAGAAGGCTGCTCAGCCTCACACCAGGCACAGAAATGCCACCTCCCACCCCAGCCACATGCGGGGCCCAGCCCCTGCACACCCCGCACAGGCCCTGGCTGCCAAGGCTGGGGTGGACTGTGTTCTGTGGGCACATCATCAGTCCTGGCTCAGGGAGAGGGGAGGGAGAGCCCATCCAAGTCCCTTCAAGGCTGACGGTGGTGGCAACGCATATTGCAAGGCCCATGTTGCTGCAGGGATGTGTCACCATGCTTGGCCCAAGCTGGAGGTTTCTCTTGGCTTTGTGCCCAGGCGCATCGTGTGGCCACAGCCTGGCCAAGGAGTTTCCAGGGCCCTCCAGCTACCGGCCTGGCTTGCCAGGGCTGCTGAGGAGCTGCTACAATGCTGCTGTGAGAGTGACAGCCCCTTCCCTCCAAAAACGCAGCTCCGTGTGCAGGTGGCTGGAAGAGCAGAGCCTGCTCCTGCAGCCAGACTGCCCTGGGTAGTCAGTAGTTAAGGATCATGGTTAGGTTCCAGAGTGTACAATCCAGGCAAGGGTTCATTTTGGGACTGCTCACTCACAGACCCAAGGGTGTCTGCCTCACCTGTGTCTCACCTGTCTCCACATCCAGGTGTTCAGTGGGAAGCGTCCCGAGTCGGAACTGCCCAGAGCACATTCCGCAAGCCCCCCACACCGCCACCTCCTGAAGCTGGGGGCCAGCACTCCCTCACCTGCCTTGTGCGGGAGCGGGACCTCTCGCTCTTTGAGAAGCTGGGCGACGGCTCCTTTGGCGTCGTGCGACGTGGCGAGTGGTGCACGCCTGCCGGCAAGACGGTGCGGGGAGATCGTGGTTGGGGA